TTCTCTGATCGAGGTTCGTCGCCTAGCGGACGTCATCTCTGTTATGCGTTGTCTCTTTCATCCCATCGCTGTCGCGCAGTCAACGTGGCCGGTCGCTATCCGGCGGTCGCTATCACGGTCTCCAGCCGAGCTCCCAGGCCGAGCCGAGCTCATGGGGCGAGCCGAGCTCATGGGCCGAGCAGAGAAGATTTTCCACGTGGCCTCTGGAGCTATCCTCCATCACAAGCCCCCCACTCTCCGGGTTTCGTTGCAATCGGCGAGGGAACCCGAGAGAGTGTAGGTACTGTAGGAGAGCGGCGCGGGGTCCCACGTGGAAGAGGTTAGCAGGCCATTGGTGCCGTTTAGGCTTCGCCATCATGAGGGGGTGCGCCGTTTCGCCTCCCTAGGCCAAGTGGCGGCCCATCATTGCACCCATTCAAAAACCCTCTATAAATATCAGCCCTACTCCCTTCATTCCCCACCTTTTAGAGAGAGAAAGTAGGAGATTTCCTTTGCCGTCGCTAGCCCTCACCGCCGTTCTCGCCCACCTTCCGGCTCCACACTAGGTTAGTTCTCCTCGTCCTTGTCCTTCCATGTCTTCCCAATCCTCGGTCTTTCGTCAGCCCGAGTCCGAGCACGGTGCCGAGGGCTCCGTCGCAGGCTCCGCGCAGGGGAGCGACTCCCGCTCGCCCTCCCTCGAGGAGATAGTCGAGGCGGTCGAGATCCCTTTTCAATCCGAGCCTCGTAATCAGAGGCGGACCATTCTCGAGGACTCGGGGATCCGAGCGCAAAAATGCACCCTTACCCGGGAGGAGTTCCGCAAGGCGAAGCGCCTACCCTCGGCGCCGGGTGTTAACCGTGCACCGCCCCACCGCCGAACAATCATTCTTTGATGCCCCGCCGGGCTCCTTCGCCATCCACCTCAAGTTTCTTGAGTATGGGTTCCGCTTCCCCCTCCACCAGTTAGTCATAGATTTCTTCCTCCACTTTGATTTTCTCCCTTGCCAAGTCGTGCCCAAATCCCACCGCTACCTGGCGGGATTTCTCATTCGTTCCCAAGGGACCGGGGTTCGCCCCGATCTGGCCCGTTTCTTGCTTCTCTTCCGGTTGGCGAAGTCGTCCGGTCGGGCGAACTCCGACTCGGGCTCGTATGCATCCATATTCCAAAGACAGGAGAAGCTCTTCAAGACGAGAAAAGACTCCGCCAAGAGTTGGAAGGGGAAATTCGTCTTCGTTTCTCTGTCCTCGGGCTCCCCCTTTCGTAAGGAGCCCCTCAGCTCCTTCCGACGCCGTTCCGCCTTCATCAACTCGGACAAGATGCTCGAGGATGTAGAGACGCTCTGGTGAGGGGGGCCCTTCGAGGTCGGATCGATAGTGACGAATGACGCGTTAGCGGCGCTCGGATTCATCTTCCTATCCCCAGAAGACACTCAGCGGAGCATCGAAGAAGGCCCCTTAGGTCAGTGCAATCTCTCCTCCTCGGCCGTCCGTGGGTCACGACTACCTCGGATTCTCCCTCCTCGCTCTTTCGCGGCTTAAGTCCTCGCCTCATCATTTATCTTTTTTGGTTGTGCAGGTGAAATCATGCTTTCCAGCACCGAGCGAATGAAGCTCATGTTCCCAGATGCCGCAAGCGGCAGCTCCCGGGCTCCTACCGTGGCGGGTCGTCCTCCGACTCCGCCCGTGAAGTCGACCCCCGAGGCGGCTCAGAAGAAGAAGAGAAAGGCCACGGCCTCGGCCACTGACCCTCCCCAGGGGCTTGAATCCCCATTGATGAAGGATTTCGGCCACCAAAAGTGTGTCAAGGCGGCCTTCCCCGCGGGGGTCTCCTTTTTGGACCGGGACTACGACCCGGAAACCTTTCTGCGTAGCATGACCCCTCCTACCAATCGCGCCAAGATCAAGGACGCCGACCGGGAGGCTCTGGCCTCGGACATGTTTCACGAGATGGGCTCGGTGAGTTTCCCTATTCATACTGTATAAATGCGTTTCTGCAGCGCTCACCCCTTGTATACCTGCAGGCGATGATGCGCATGGTCGACATCACCCAGCGGCTTCGCATCTGTGAGGCTGACTGGAGCAGGGCTTATGTTGAGATAGCTGACCTCAACGAGGCGCTGAAGGTGGCTAAGGAGCAAGCTCGCCAGGCCGAGGAGAGGGCTCAGCAGCTCGCGGAGGAGGCGGCTCGCCAGGCACGCAACGAGGCTCGCGAGCAAGCCGTGGCCGAGTTCATATCTTCGGGGGCATTCCAAGACGAGGCCTTCGCCCGTATGAATGACCTGCTCAAGGCCTGGGGTCAGACTGACGTGGGACGGGCTTTTGCTCGCTCCGAAGGGACCCAGTGGTACAACCTCGGCCTGTTTCGAGCGCAGCAAGTCCTTTCCGACCGGTTCCTCAATGGAGAGGACTTCCCCGAACCGTGCGACCACCCCGATGAGCTCGACACTTCCATCTATTACCCGAGTGGCGGAGACACGGCCGGCGAGCAGACGGGTGCTAAGTGATTTTCCAAGATGAGCTCGACCACCTCCGTGTTTTTCTTTTTTTTGTGTAATGTTGCCCAAAACTTGTTATGCTATTGTTTTGAATTCGGATATGTTGTGATTTGTTGCTTTGTATGGATATGCTACGCTCTCTTTTGCCCTTAATGTCGCTGCATCAGTCGTTTCTCTTAACTTGCGTACTCGCCTCCACCCACCTGGCTCGAGCTCGGCCACGCCGAGGAGAGGCCACCTCGGGACTTGGTCCTCTGACCCCTCGTTATCCGAGACGGTTGATGGGACTTGACCTTTTGACCTGCCGCCCGTTGGACCGCTCCCGTCCCGCCATGTGTACCCTTCCCCCTAGGCGAGATGCCTATATAAGGGAGGGGTCTTTACCACTTTTTGCACTCATCACTTGCTTCTTTTGAATTCTTCTAATTTCATCATGCCGCGCTTGGCTCCTACTCCCCCCGATTACAGTGAGGAGCGAGGAGAGACGTTCTCCTTCGGCAGCTATTCCCTTGGTGGTTCTTCGGCCATCCCGACCAAGTCAGGGCCGAGCTCGACCCCGCCGCCCTCGCCGCGGGACTCTTGGGTCTCGGACTCTGAGTCTGAGTCAGTGCACCCCGATCCTTCTGCTAAGATCCCGGGGTTCATCTACTACTCGTCGGAGGAGGACGAGAAGACCCCCTCTCCGCCGGTTCGTCGTGAGGTCCCCCCTCCCCCAGTCACCGCCTACCGTGGTGGACGTGGGCGTCGCCCTCCCGCTCCTCCGGCGGCGGACGCGAGTGAGGGTTCCGTGGCATCTCATCATCCGAGCCGGCAACCATTTGAAGACCCGGGCTCGCCCAGCTTCGCCGAATCTACGGGTCATTCTGTTGTCAGTAGGGCTCCTTCTCCATCCTCGTACCCCCCGCCTTGCCCTTGCGAGCGTGGGTGGAACTGTGGCATGCACTGAAGTTTGCCCGCACTTTAATTATTTGTAATGCACTTAATTATTGTAAGGCGTTCGTGCCATGTACTTGCCCGTTTTGCGGGGTGAATAAAATTTGGATGTGATTAAGTCTTGCTTTCATTTTTCGCCCTTAGCTTTTAGTGTTGTGTTCGGCTCTTCCCCGGAGGAGGAGTGCCGAGCACGAAGGTTTGACCTCTATCCGGGAAGAACATCCGTATATGGTATGTGCTCTGCTCTTCCTTTGATGAGGAGTGCCGAGCACGAAGGTTTTTCCTCTATCCGGGAAGAACATCCGTATATGGTATGTGCTCGGCTCTTCCCTTAAAAGGGGGTGCCGGGCACGAGTGTTGACCTTCATCCGGGAAAAACGTCCGGGTATGGTCTGTACTCGGCTCTTCCCTTGAGGGGGAGTGCCGAGCGCGAGTGTTTGACCTTCATCCGGGGAAAACGTCTGGGTATGGTCTGTGCTCGGCTCCTCCCTTGAGGGGGAATGCCGAGCGCGATTGTTTGACCTTCATCCGGGGAAAACGTCCGGGTATGGTCTGTGCGCGGCTCTCCCTTGAGGGGGAATGCCGAGCGCGATTGTTAGACCTTTATCCGGGAAGAGCATCCGGACATGGTCTGTACTCGGTTCTTCCCTTGAGGGGGAGTGCCGAGCGCGAGGGTTAGCCCTTTATCCGGGAAGAACATCCGGACATGGTCCGCGCTCGGCTCTTCCCCCGAGGGGGGCTGCCGAATACGAAGATCAGACCTTGTTGGCAAACAAAATTCTATTTCATTGAATTCAATCATGGTGTTGCGGGTTCCCATTTTCGGGCCCGTGTATATTTCTACTGATAAAACTTAATCAAATTCTCGGCATTCCAAGTTCTGGGCACATCCCCTCCACTCGGCGTCTGCAGGCGGAATGTCGAGGGGCCTACCACTTCTTTGATGATGTAGGGGCCTTCGTAGTTCTTGGCAAATTTTCCACCTTCTAGGGGGCGGCTTACGGACCTCTTGCGCAGCACCCAATCTCCTTCGGTGAACCCCCGTGCGTGCACACGCCCGTCATGGTAGCTCTTCACCTTCCTTCGGTAGATTTCGGCCCGTATGAAGGCCGCTTCTCGCCTCTCGTGTACGAGATGAAGCTCGGCTGCCAGGGCTTCTTTGTTACGCTCAGGGTCGAAGAGTTCCTCCCGGTGAGTAGCGATGGAGATCTCCGCAGGGGCTCTCGCCTCGAATCCATAGCACAAGGCGAAGGGGGTTTCCCCGGTCGCCCTCCTAGGCGTGGTTCGGTAGGTCCATAGGATGTAGGGCAGCTCCTCTGCCCACTCCCCTCCACAAGCTTCCAATTTCCGCTTCAGACCATCAATTATTGTTCGGTTGGCGTTCTCGACCTGGCCATTTGTCTGAGGGTACCCGACCGACGCGTAGCTGTGCTTGATCCCCCAACTCTCGAGGAAGGCGTTGAACGGCTTTGACTCGAATTGTGTCCCATTGTCTGTGATTATGTGCTCGGGGACCCCAAACCGACAGATGACTTGTTTTGCGAGAAACTTTTGGCATTGGACTTCGGTGATGCTCGCCAGTGGAGCTGCTTCCACCCACTTAGTGAAGTAATCGATGGCTACGATGACGTACCTCACACTCCCGGTTCCCCTAGGGAGTGCATCCACGAGATCCACCCCCCATCGCGGAAACGGGATGGCCGTGCTGATGGGGGTGTAGTTGGTTGAAGGCCTCCCCGGCACTTTCTGGAATTCTTGGCAGACTTTACACTTCTTCAAAAACTCTGTGCAATCCTTGACTATCGTCGGCCAAAAATATCCTTGGAGGGTTATCTTCCTTGACACCGCGTAGGCCCCCTGGTGGGCGGAGCAAATCCCGGCGTGCACTTCCTCCATGACCTGCTTTGCTTCAGTTGGTCTAAGGCACCTGAGTAGCGTCCCGCTGTACGCTCGCTTGTATAGCTTCTCGCCTTCCAACGTGTATCCCGGTGCCCTCGTTCGGACCAGCTTGGCCTTCACCGCATCGTCTGGGAGGGTGCCATCCTTTAGGAAGGCAACTATGTCGTCCGTCCAATCTTTGGGCCGAGCGCAGATCATTGCCACGGGAAAAGCGTGAATGCTTGGCACGGACAACTCTTCCACGTTAGCCATCCGCCTGATGTGCTGGGGCGTGTCTGAGCTCAGCTTTGACAAGATGTCTGCCTCGGCGTTCTCCGCCCGAGGGATCTGCTCGACACTATACGCGATGAAGCTCTTAAGGAGTTCCAAAGCCGTATCTCTGTATTTCTTCATTCTTTCATCCTTCGCCTCAAACTCTCTTGAGACATGGCCAACCACAAGCTTCGAATCGCACTTTATCCTCAGCTTTGTCGCGCTCATCCCGGCTGCTAGGCGTAGCCCGCACAAGAGCGCTTCATACTCCGCCTCGTTATTTGATGCCTTAAAGCCGAATCGAATCGAGTAGTATGCCCTGAAGCCTTCGGGAGCGATGACCACCACTCCACCCCCCGAGTTTTTGGCGGCGGAGGAGCCGTTGGTAAAAACTGTCCACCAGTCATCGGTTTCAAGTTCCGGGCTCGGCTCTTCCCGAGCGGTGCATTCCACCACAAAGTCGGCCAGCGCTTGCCCCTTGATCGCCGGCCTTGGCTTGAACTCGATCTGGAAGGCTCCCAAGAATACTGCCCACGTAGACATGCGAGAGGGCGCGTTCGGGCTCCTGAGTAGCGCGCCTAGGGGCTGCTGGGAGAGCACCTGAACCGGGTGAGCTTGGAAGTAAGGCATCAATCGCTGCACGGTTGATACTACCGCTAGGACCGTCTTTTCGGCCACGGAGTACCTGAGCTCGGCACCCCTCAACGTCTTAGCCGTGTAGTACACCGGGTGTTGAGCTCCGCCACCTTCTCGAACTAGGACTGAGCTTAGTGCCTTGGGCGACACTCCCAAGTAAAGATACAAAGTCTCCCCGGGCTCGGGCTTGGCAAGGACCGGTGGAGAGAGGAGGTAGGATTTCAGAGACTCAAAGGATTGTTGGCACTCTTCCGTCCATACAAACCCTCGGGACTTCTTCACAGCTTGGAAGAATGGGGCGGCTCGGTCCGCTACCTTGGAGAGGAAGCGGCTGAGCGCGGCCAACTTACCGGTCAAGCGCTGCACCTCCTTGACATTTCGTGGAGCCTCCATGTCAAGGATGGCGCGCACCTTCTCGGGGTTGGGCTCAATACCGCGCCTGCTCACCATATGTCCCAAGAATTTGCCGCCTTGAACTCCGAACGTGCACTTCTTCGGATTCAACCGGAGGTTGTACTTTCCCATAATCTTGAAGACTCCTTCTAAGTCTTCCGCATGGGTGGTCACTCTATTGCTCTTCACAATCATGTCGTCGACGTACGCTTCCATGCTCTTTCCAAGGACGGGCGCAAAGAGCTTGCTCACCATCCTAGCATAGGTCGCCCCGGCGTTCTTGAGCCCAAAAGGCATCACCTTGTAACAATATACTCCACCGGGGGTAGTGAAAGACGTCTTCTCTTCGTCTTCGAGGTGCATTCGGATTTGGTGGTACCCGCTGAAGGCGTCCATGAAACTCATGAGCTCGCAACCCGCCGTCTCGTCTACCAGCTGATCAATATTCAGGAGTGGGAATGGGTCCATAGGACATGCTTTATTGAGGTCGGTGTAGTCTACACACATCCTCCAAGTGTTTCCCTTCGGAGCCAACACCACGTTCGCCATCCACTCCGGGTACTTGACTTCTCTGATATGCCCGATGCTCTGGAGGGTGGCGACTTCCTTGGAGACAAACTCCCTCCGCTCGGACGAGAGGAAACGCTTCTTCTGCCTTACCGGCCTAGACCCCGGATTGACTGCCAAGCGGTGGCATATGACCTTGGGGTCTACTCCCGGCATATACCCCGGTCCCCAGGAAAAGATCACGCGGTAGGCCGAGAGCACGTCCATCAAGAGCTTCCGATGGCTCCCGGTCAGACCCACCCCGACCTTCACCTTCCGCTCGGGTGTTCGAGGGTCGAGCAGCACCTCCTCGACTTCTTCGGCGGGCTCGGCCTTCGGTCGTGCTTCTAGCTTCCGCTCCCCTTCTTGTGCTTGCACGACCAACGTCTCGTCCCTTGGCAACTTCTTCGTGATTCGGACGTAGCACGATCGAGCTAACTTCTGGTCTCCCCTCGCCACCCCAATCCCGGACGGAGTGGGGAACTTCATGCACAAGTAATACGGGGAGATTACGCATTCCAAGTCCTCCAGGCCAGGCCGCCCTAGGATCATGTTGTGCGCGCAGTTGATGCTCACAACCATGAATTCCATCTTCAGCTTAGCCTTGTGCGCCCCATCCCCTACTATCACGGGCACGGTGATGACTCCTTCAGCCTCAATGGAGTCCCCCGTGAACCCGGAGAGAGGAGTGCGCACGGGCCTCAAGTCTTTGCGGTCCAAGCCGAGGTCCTGGAAGGTCTTTTCATACATGATGTTAACCGAGCTTCCCGTGTCCACCAAGGTGCGGTGCACTATGGCGTCATTGATTTCAATCTTCACGACCAGGGCATCCCGGTGGGGGCTCGGCGTGCTCGGGAGGTCCTTCTCCATGAACTGGAATTGCTCTCGTCTTCCGAGCTTGGGCACCGGCGCTTGTTGAACCTTGGCGACGAATGCCATGTGCTTCCACTTCTTCCTCTGGGCGGCGGAATCCCCGCCGACGTTTCCTCCATGGATAAATCCCACCGGATATCCTTGGGCTTTGTCTTCGTCTAGATCGTCGCACTCCCGCCCGATGTGCCTCTTCTCGGGATTTCTTGCCTGCGTCGCCACTGCGACTGGCTTAGTCGGCTTCCTCCAAGTTCTCCCTTCTGGCGGCCCCCGGGAGGGGGCAACGGCATCGTCTCGCGGAGGCGGCCCTCGGGCGATGAGTCGCTGCATTTCCTTCTGAAGGGTGAAGCACTCCTTAGTGTTATGAGTGTTGTTGCGATGGTACTCGTAATACTTGGCTCCGCTGGCCACCGCGTAAGCCTCTACGTGAGGGAGCGGGGAGAGGGCAAGCTCGCGTCCCGTCCCTCCTGGGTCGCCCACGGAGTATACCCCGGCCGAGGGCGTCCTCGGGCCCGCGGTATAGTCTTTTTTCTTCTTCCTCTTCTTCGCGATCTCTCCCGAGTCCACTGGAGCTCGCTTGGCCGGCGCGGCCTCGGAGTCTGGACGTCGTCGAACTCCTCCGAGGCTAAGAACTTCACGCGCGCCAAGCTCTCTTGGTACGGGGGGGAGGGTTCTTGCGGAGCTCCTTCCTCACCTCTCCGCGGGGAAGGGCTGCTTGGAACATGGCGACCAACGCCTGGTCATCCGCCCCATGCACGTCCCTGGCTTCCTTCTCCCACCGGACTATGAAGTCGCGGACCTTTTCTCCCTTGCGGATGCATATGTTGAGCAGGTGGGAGTAAGGTAGCCTCTGCCTTCGATTAGCCGCGAAATGCGTCAGGAACTTCTCCGCCAGCGTATCCCAATCGTCAATGGTTCCCTTCGGGAGCCGGTTGAACCAATCGCACGCAGAGCCCTCCAGCGTCGCGAGAAAGCATCGGCACTTGACCTCATCCGGGGCTGCCGCCGCTTCCATAGAAGCGTAGAACTTGGACAAATGATCTTGGGGGTCCGTCGTTCCGTTGTAGGCCTTGATCTGCCACGGCCGGAAGTTTGCTGGCAGCGGAACCGACATAACCCTCGGAGTGAACGGGGTTACCGTCCGCAAGATGGGCTGGCTGTAGGGAGCCCTGGTCTCCACTCGGCGCTTGAGCTCGGCAATCTCACGAGCGAGCCGAGTTACCCCCTGGTCAGAAGCCTTTGTCTTCTCAGTTCTTGTTGGACTATGGCGGCGCTGGGTGCGCTCGCCCCGCCTTTCTCCGCTCCTCTCGGGCCTCGCAGAGCGAGCATCCGATGTCGCGGACTCCTCAGCATGCCTCCGCCTGCCTTCGGTTATTTTTTGGCGGAGGTCATCCGGGTGACCTTCCGGCCCGCGATCGATCCTGTCGAAGGCCGACACCCGGGTTTCTTCACCTCCTAAACGTCTGAAGGCCGACACTTGGCACTCGCTAGACTCATCGTCTTCCCCTTCGGGAACGTCCTCCACTATCACCTCCTCAAACACCTGGGCTTTGCCGGTCCTCCTCCTACTCCTCCGGGTCTTCTTCCCCTTGTGTTGGGAAGTGGCAGCGTGTTCGGCATGGAGACCGTGCGGAGCTTTGCCAACTTCGGCACCGGGCACGTTCCCACCCATGGCGGAAAGTGCCGCAACGGCTGCCTGGAGCTGCTCCGCGGTCACCCCCAAGCCGAACAGCGCTTGGATCGCATCCGGAGTCGAGCCGATACCTCCCGTGCCGTTGCCGCTGCCCGACACGTTCTCCTCGCCAACGACGTGGCTGGTGGTGGGGACGTTGCTCCTTGTTTGCACCATTCTCGTGTTCGGGAGTTAACCTACGAGTATGTTCCTCTCCTCTCAATGATAGCACCAATTTGAGGGTGATAAACCACCGAGAACAAAGAATAATATAAGTTTTAGAGAGAGAGAGAATGCAAAGTAGGAGTTTTCGTTCTAAACTTCGATCTGTTACAATGAGGGGTCTCTCCCCTTTTATAGGGGATACAATACACATAGTCAAAGTTTCTCTTATCGAGGTTCGTCGCCTAGCGGACGTCATTTCTGTTATGCGTTGTCTCTTTCATCCCATCGCTGTCGCGCAGTCAACGTGGCCGGTCGCTATCCGGCGGTCGCTATCAAGGTCTCCAGCCGAGCTCCCAGGCCGAGCCGAGCTCATGGGGCGAGCCGAGCTCATGGGCCGAGCAGAGAAGATCTTCCACGTGGCCTCTGGAGCTATCCTCCATCAATACGAATTAACTAATTTTTTTCATTAAAAAATAATCATAAAATATAAAATATTGATTGTATTATAATATGAATTACTCTGTATCATTATAATTTTCAAACGTTGTTATAAAGTCAAATCAAATTATTGATTTGAATTTTAAATCAAATCATAATTAATCAGATCAGATCAAACCAGATCAGATCAGATCCAATCAAATCGGACTAGATCAGATCAGATCTCATCATATCAGACCAAATCAGATCCGATCAAACGAGATCAGATCAGTTCGGAAATACAAAAAATCAGATCTGACGAAAAAAATAAGTACAGAACGAAGCTTTAGTCTTCAAACAAATTTTGTTTGCTTGTATACTTTTATAGTTTGTTTTTTTTTCTTTTCTTATTTCGATTATAAAATTGAAATTATGAGGGAAGATCTTACGATTTTTAAAGCCATTTTATTTATAAATTAGTACATTAATAAGAAATATAAGTTACACATTAAAAAATCATATCCATAGTTATTCAAAATAAGAGATGGCAGAAATATTTTATTTTATCAAATAATCAATCAAGAAACATAAATAAATACTACCACTATGTTTGGTTCAATGAATCTATACATTATTTAAAAAGACATGAATTTTTTCCCGCCCATGCATGACACTCATATATGGAAAGTGTTGACAACATAAATGCTAGTTTAATTATATTACCTTAATGTTTTCCTTCCATTTTAAGTATGTTTTCATTTTTATTTTTATTTAAATGTTACACCATTTAAGCATTTAAATTAAATAGTAGTGAACCATTGGGGAATTGAAGTATGTAAATAAAATACAATGCCAAGTAAATATTAAAATAAAATTTAAAAATTACAAATTAATAAAGTATGGGTAGGATTAAAATGATTTATTTCAAACAAACTACAAATTAATTATTTATCATTAAAAAATATTATAATTTACAAGCACAAACGCGTAAAAATGATAAGTTTTTCTAAAATAGATTAGAAAATAAATATGGTACGGTAAGTAGATGATAACATTTAAATAAAAAAATAAAATAAAAAACTACAAATTAATATTAATACTATAATTTAAAAGAATGAAAACGTTTTAAAAATGACAAATGTTCTAATTAGAAAATAAATAGATATTGTATAGTAAGCAATTAGCACCATTTAAAAAACGAAAATAAAATAAATGGTAAGTTTTCTAAAATAAATTAGGTCAGTGTTCTAAAATAAAAGAGAAAATAAATTACTCCCTCCGTCCCCAATTTGATTACGAATTGCGAGTTACGGAGTAAAATTTCTTACTTTTTGAAATCATCTTATTTACAAATTGATATATCAATAAGATATAAAAATTACTTATTAAACAACTACGTCAAAAGTTCTACAAAACAAGAAATGATAAGAATATTTTATTTTATCAAATACTTAATGAAATCGCGTAAATAAACAAAAGTTATCGAGACGAGAGAAAAAAATTGTGATCTATTTAGGGACAGAGAGAGTACATCTAAAAATGATAAGTATTCTAAAATAAATTAGAAAATAATGTGGTTTGATAAGTAATTAGTACGATTTAAATACGAAAATAAGATAAAAAACTGCAAAATTAATATTAATACTATACTTTAAAAACATGACTTTTTTAAAAAGGTAAGTGTTCAAATTAGAGAATTAGAAAATAGATACGGAATGGTATGTCACCACGATAAGCAAATGGTACCATTTAAACATAAAAAAATTAAATGGTAAGTGTTCTAAAATAAATTAGGTAAGTGTTCTAAATAAATTAGAAAATAAAATATTTATTAAAACGATAAGTATTCTAAAATATATTAGAAAATAAATACGGTACGGTAAGTAAATGATACTCTCTCCGTCCGCCATAGATCTTCCCAATAGTCCTTTATTGTCCACAATAGATCTTCTCATTTCATTTTTTAACAATTAAAATACCACAACTACCCCTACTTACTTTATTTATTATTTATTACACCTCACTCACCTCATTTAACACAGTCCACCTCATTTAATACAGTCCACCCATTTTTTCCACCTATTTATTACGGAGTATTTATTAGATGATAACATTTAAATAAAAAATTAAAATAAAAAACTACAAATTAATATTAATACTATAATCTAAAAGAATGGAAACGTTTTAAAAATGACAAATGTTCTAATTAGAAAATAAATAGATATGGTATAGTAAGCAATTAGCACCATTTAAAAACGAAAATAAAATAAATGGTAAGTTTTCTAAAATAAATTAGGTCAGTGTTCTAAAATAAAAGAGAAAATAAATTATTCCCTCCGTCCCCAATTTGATTACGAATTGCGAGTTACGGAGTAAAATTTTTTACTTTTTGAAATCATCTTATTTACAAATTGATATATCAATAAGATATAAAAATTACTTATTAAACAACTACGTCAAAAGTTCTACAAAACAAGAAATGATAAGAATATTTTATTTTATCAAATACTTAATGAAATCGCGTAAATAAACAAAAGTTATCGAGAGGAGAGAAAAAAATTGTGATCTATTTAGGGACAGAGAGTACATCTAAAAATGATAAGTATTCTAAAATAAATTAGAAAATAATGTGGTTTGGTAAGTAATTAGTACGATTTAAATACGAAAATAAAATAAAAAACTGCAAAATTAATATTAATACTATACTTTAAAAACATGATTTTTTTTAAAAAGGTAAGTGTTCAAATTAGAGAATTAGAAAATAAATACGGAATGGTATGTCACCACGATAAGCAAATGGTACCATTTAAACATAAAAAAAAAATAAATGTTAAGTGTTCTAAAATAAATTAGGTAAGTGTTCTAAATAAATTAGAAAATAAAATAATTATTAAAACGATAAGTATTCTAAAATATATTAGAAAATAAATACGGTACGGTAAGTAAATGATACTCTCTCCGTCCGCCATAGATCTTCCCAATAGTCCTTTTTTGTCCACAATAGATCTTCTCATTTCATTTTTTAACAATTAAAATACCACAACTACTCCTGCTTACTTTATTTATTATTTATTACACCTCACCCACCTCATTTAATAAGGTCCACCCATTTTTCATTAAGGGTATTATGGTAAACTTTCACCTTTTTTCAACTCTCCTTAAAAACCCCCAAAAGTCAAAATGAGAACATCTTAGGGAGATGGAGGGAGTACCATTTAAATAAAAAATAAAATAGAAAACTACAAAATAATACTATCAATTAATACTACAATTTACAAGCATGGTAATGTGTAAAAATGGTAAATGTTATAAAATAAATTAAAAAATGAATATGGTACATTAAGCAAATGGTACCATTTAAATACAAAAATTAAAAAATTATAAATTAATAGAATTAATACTATAAGCATGGAAACATGTAACAATGGTATAAGTATTCTAAAATAAATACTATTAATACTATAATTTACAAGCATGGATACGTGTAAAAATGGTAAGTGATCTAAATGAAAATAGAAAATAAATATCATAGGATAAGTTAATGGTACCACTTAAATACGAAAATAAAATTAAAAAATACAAATTCCAAAATAAATACATTAATATGTTGAATTATTACTTAGATAAGTCAAATTATTGAATTATTATCAAGAACAATATCTGAAACATATTGAATTATTGTTACGGAAACTGGTATTTAGTCATGAGAAAGTGTATGTTACAATTATTAAAGAGTAATAAATCATAATAGTTTGAAGATTCTAATATACGCTCATACAAATTATGCATACGAGTGATGTAGTTTATAAAGAAGTCTTTCGAAGTTTGTAAATTATTTTACTTTTGTACTTTAAAATAATGAAATCTCTATATTCCATTATATACCAATTTATATTCCTAAAAATGATCTTAAATTAGTACCGTAACTATGACCCGTGCAACGCACGGGTGTGATACTAGTTAAGAGGGAAAGGAAAATAAAATGAGAAGGAATTTTTTTTTTGTTTGGTTAGAGAGGAAAAAAAAAGAAAAGTGGAGGGTAAAGAAAATGAGAAAGCAAAATGTATTAAGTAGATGGAAAACTAAATTCCTACCATTTTGGTGACTAAACTAAGGAAAAACCATTTTTTTTTCCTTTCCTTTTAAATTCCATTAACCAAACATAGTGTACAAAAAAGTTATCGTGAGAAAAGAAAAAAAAATAAAATTGTAATAAAAATAGAGATAGAGAAAGTATATGATATAATTAAAGATTATTATTTTCATACCTGATTTTAGATAAAAGATTCACTTTTTGATCAAAATATGACATCATTTCACTACGAATTAAATATAGTTTAAAATAGTTAAATATAAAAAATTTCCATATTTCTAAAGTTTTATTTTAAAATTAATCTAATTTTATTAAATTTAAATTATAACTAAAAACACATTTTTCATAATTCATGATTAAAAGATGTTATAGTTCGATTAAAAAATCAAAGCGACCATCGATTCGTTCTCTGTCGATCCAATTCCCCAATTTTCTGATTGTTAGAGCCCTTTGTAGATCTAGATTTGGGCAAGTCCTGTTCTTTGTACCGAATAACGGCAAGTTCGCTGGGCCTTTTTTAACGTTTAGACTTAACATGGCCTAGAATAAATAAATCTATTATTGGGCTTGGTCTTCTTGTTGGATTGCCAAATAAAAACATTTAACAAGCTAAAACTCAATGTTATTATTTGGCAATCCATTTCAATTTT